CCCCGGGGCCTTGGTCAAGCTGGGTGGGGTTGATTAGTCCCCGGTATACAGGCATCGGGAAGCCCTGAGCTTGGCATAGAGAAGCAAAGTCAGAGACCCAGGCCAACCCGGCACTGCCCCTGCCCGACTTCGTCCTTTTCCAGCTCCAGCTCCATCTCACTGGCAGCACCAGGGCACAGCTGGGCATCGCTCCAAAAGCTGGCCCGTATACCAGGCATCGGTCATGCACCTCCTGCAGACCCCAGGACCCACGTAGGGTGACCAGACAGCAAGCATGAAAAATCGGGACACTTTTTTGGGGGGCAGCGGAGGGGATAGTTGCATATATAAGACAAAGCCCCTAATACTGGGACATCTGGTCACCCAAGACCCATGTCCTCTGCCAGCCTGAGCTCGCCGTGGACCCTGTCAATTGGCTCCATTACAAAAACTCCCCCACCGCAGAGCACCGCTTTCCTGAGCGGCTGGAATTTAGGGCTGCCTGCCAGTGGCAGGAGAAGGCTGGAAGGATCCGACTTTCATCCCTAAATGCTGATCACTGTTGATTTCACCGCCTACGCCCCGGTCAAGGGCAAGATCTTTGCAGCAATATGCCCGGGAATTTACGAACGGCACTGGCTGAGACCTTGGGAGAGGTTGCTTTTCGGCAAGTTGTTTGACATATTTTGGCAGGTGACCTTGGCGATTTGTGTTTTCACAGTTAATCAAGCTTTCACTTTTGGAATCTTACTGGCTGCTGGCATTAAATCATGATTCCCTCCCCCCCCGCCCGCCCCATCATTTCCCACAACTGTGAAAACGTCAGCTAAGAAAAATAGGAAAAAATGCTTTAAAATAAACATTGCGATTGTCTGGCGAAAGTACCAAAACTAAAATCTGCCAGGCCAGGAGAGAAAAAGATTCTTTGTTGAGAATTGCTGGTCCCAGCCGGGGCAGCCTGATTTCACCACTAGGGTCACTTGAAGATAACTGGCTTCTGGGGACCCGGGTTGGTTCCAGCCAGTCCTTTAACCCACCCCAGCCAGCTCTGGGACACACACACCCCATGGCTCCAATGCTGCTCCAAGAGCAGCGTGTTAGCCCATTTGCACCCCCTGAAGAGCAACATGAAACAGAAAGGTAAACTGAGGCAGACACCAGCTTCATAAAAATGTCACAGAAAATTCCTGCTTTATCACAGAAATGACTGGCAGAGGCAGACCCCCATTCTAATGTGCCCCTCGTTGCCTGGACACAGGGCACACCAGTGACCCCCAAACACTGAGACCCCAACCCTGGTGAGTGCCCCTCCACAACCCCTCCTCCTTAGAATACCAGTGGGTCCCTGACCTACCTCTGCCCCCCTTGAGTTTGCTGCTTCCATCCTGCTTTTGATCCAGTTCCTGGTTCTCATCCAGTCTCTGTCCTGATCAAATCCTTGTTCTAGTCCAGTCCCTGTTCTGATTCAGCGCCTGGGTCTGGATTGGTCCCTGGTTCTGATTCAGCGCCTGGGTCTGGGCTGGTCCCGGTTCTGACCTGACCCCAGTTCCACCCTGCCCCCTCCCCCCAGGTACACGGAGCGCACGTGGCACGAGGGCGCCTGGCACGGCAGCACCCTGACCATCGCCAATGTCAGCGCCATGCACGACTACGCCACCTTCACCTGCCGTGCCAGCAACGCATTGGGCACGGACAAACTGGACATCCAGCTCCTCAGCACCAGTACGGCCTGGGGGGCTGCGGGTCAGGAGTGAGGGGCATCGGCTGAGGGCGGGTTGGGGGAGTCCAGGACTGGGCTAGCAGAGGCTGCAGGTCAGGAATGAGGGGCACCGGCAGAGCAGGGTGATCTCTCTCTCTCTCTTTCTCCCGCCTCTGCAGGCCCTCCAGACCCCCCCACAGGGTTAAAGGTCGTGAGCGTCACCCACAATTCAGCCACCCTGGAGTGGATCCCCGGATTTGATGGGGGGCTGCCCCAGAGATTCCGCATCAGGTGGGGAGCAGTGGTGTGGGGTGGAGGAGGCAAGGATGGGGTTGGAGGGGACTCTGGATGGGCAGTAGGAGGATGAAGAGGAGTGGGAACAGTGGGGCTCAGAGCTGGGGGGGTCTAGTGGTTGGAGCTTGGAGGGCCATGTGTCTGTGTTAGGGTGTCATAGTGTGACAGGATGCACAGAACTGGGGGGCTGGCATAGGTGGGGGAGGAGGCTGGATACAGTGGGGTTCAGAGCTGGGAAGCTGGTGTGGGTGGGGGCAGAGGAGGAGGCTGGGGACTGGGACTCAAAGCTGGGGGGCTGGCATGGGTGAGGGAAGGAGGAAGGGACGGGGGGGCAGGTGTGGGTGGGGGGAGGACAGGGCTGGGGGCAGGGATAGTGGGGTTCATAGCTGGGGGCTGGTGTGGGTGGGGAACAAGGAGGGGAAGTGGGGCTCAGAGCTGGGGGCTGGCATGGGTGGGAGCTGGGGCGCTCAGAGCTGGGGGGGCTGGCATGGGTGGAGGCCATTGGGTGGGGATGGATGAGGCAGGGCCCCCCCGGGGTCTGGGGTCCCTCACCCCCTGTGTCCCCCAGGTACCGCTGGCCAGGCGCCCCCAGTGCCCTGTACATGGACGTCTTCCCCGCCAAGACCTCCGCGTTCACCCTGACGGGGCTGAGCCCAGCCACCCCCTACAGTATTGGTGTCAGCGCCCACAACACCCTGGGGGAGAGTGCCCAGGGCCCCAGCGTCACCGTCACCACCGCAGGTAGGGGGTGCCATGCTGGGGGTCAGGGGGCTCGGCAGGGGGTGCCAGGCTAGGGAAATGGGGGTCCCAGCAGGGGGCACCGTGCAGTGGCAGAGAGTGTAGTGGGGGCCCTGTGCTGGAATGGGGGGGGCTGTGCTGGGATGGAGGGAGCCGTGCTGTGCAGAGGTGGGGGCTCAGCAGGGGGGGTGTCTGTGGGTTTCGACCCTGACGGAGCTGATGTTGTTTCAGAGCTGCCCTTAGAGGAGCTGCCAGTTGTGGAGCCTGAAGCGCCAAAAACAGGTGGGTACTGGAAGGGGGCGGAGAGCCCTGTCCCAGCTCTGGGAGGGGAGTGGGGTCTGGTGGTCAGAGCAGGGGATGGGCTGGCTCAGGGGGTGGCGAATGGGACACCAGGTGTTTCCCCTCTGGCGGATGCTGGCTCCTGGCCGCTCTCTGATGTTCTCCTTTGCTTTCCCAGAAGCCCCATCGTTGCCCCCAGCCCTCATTGGGGGGCTGAGCGCACTGGGGGCCCTGCTGCTACTCTCCAACGCTGCCCTCCTCGCCTGCCTGCTCAGACGGCGCCAGGCCTGGGCAGGTAATTCCCCACCCCCCTGGACCGGGGCACTGCCCCCAGGAAGCTCACAGCACCAAACGGTGGCCAATGAGGCCCAACCTGGGCTGATCCTTGCTGTTTTCTGGTTCTGACTGCAGGTGTCCGGGAGGAGACCAAGGAGAGGTGAGTGTCAGGGGCAGGCACACGGGGGGCAGGCAGTTCTGTGCATCCTGTCGCACTATGACACCCTAACACAGACACATGGTCCTCCCAGCTCCAACCCCTAGACCCCCCTCCCCTTCCAGAGCTGGGGAGAGAATCTAGGCATCCTGGCTCCCACCCTTTGTCTTTCAGGAGGAAGCCCAGTGCTGGGAATGACTACAACTCGGGGGAAGCAGTGAATCCAGCGGCACGGCAGACACTCCTGGACAGTTACTCAGAGAGGAGTGCGTCCTCTGGGGTGAGAGGATGAGGGAGTGGGGCTCAGCAGGGGCGTCGTGCTGCTGGGAGTTAGGCGTGCTGTGGGGACAGGTCAAGGGACTCAGCAGGGGGTGGGGGTTCAGTATGGGGTGCTGTGCTGGAGGGGCCTCAGCAGGGGGTGCTGTGCTACACGGAGCAGGGTGGGGGCTCAGCAGGGGGCACTGTGCTGCGGGGAGCATGGCGGGAGGGCTCAGCAGGGGGCGCTGTGGTGCAGGGAGAGGGGTAGGAGCTCAGTAGGGGGGCGCTGTGCTGCTAGGACCAGGGCCGGGGCTCAGCAGGGGGTACTGTGGTGGGGAGGGTTCAGCTGACAGGTGGGGGTTGTGTCTGGCCTGGCAGGGAGGGAAAGATAGCAGGGTTGGGGGTTACGGGGCATGTCACTGGCAGAAAGGGAGCAGGGTCAGGCAGTCACAGTGGGGGATGGGGGAGCCAGGACTCCTGGGTTCTCTTTTTGGGGGCTAGTGTTCCCTTGGTGGGTGACAGGGTCTCTCTGTGGCTCCCCTGTAGGGCAGTTCAAGAGGCACCTGGCCGGGGTACTTGCCCAGCCGTGAGCATCGACCCCAGCTGCTCCCCCACCCCGAAAGAGCCGAGGGGGAAACAGACGCCAGCACCACAGGTGGGTCTGAATTGTCAGAGCTGGTTCCCCCTAGAGGGGACAGGCTCCATAGTCCTTTGCTGCGATCCATCCCACAGATCCCTTTGCTGTTCCAGACTCTGGGTTCCCTGCACGCGGGCCCGGCCCCTCAGTCCCCCATGAATACGAGGACATGATGGAGCCTGGGGTCTATGAGGAACTGGGGGCACTACACCTGCGAGCTCCTGCCCCACTGTACCCAGGGGCACTACCCTGCCAGGACCATGTGGTGAGTGGCCAGCCGCCCAGCTCCAACAGGATTCCTGGGTTCTCTGCCTGGCTCAGCAAGGTGTTAGGGTGACAGGCTCTCTCTCTTCCCAGGGCACCTATCCATGGAGGGGCTGGTCCCTGGCTGACTCTGAGGACCCCCTGAGGATCTACGACCAGGTGGCAGACACTCCACCCCCTGCAGCAGATGAGGGGCTGCCCTTTGAGCTAAGGGGGGAGCTGGTGTGAGGGGGCCTACGCTGGCAGCCTGGTGTCTGTCTGACCATAGAATAAACCTCCTGAAACCCACCCTGCCTGGACCTGGCCACTGTTGTATGGGGGACCATGGGGTGCCAGGGGAGGGGCTCAGCAGGGGGAATTATCCAACTGTCCTCCCAGCTCCACTCGGCGACTGCCCTTCTCAGTGACTGCAAGCCAGGTAGCAGGATGTCAATAGCCATTTATTATTTGGAGGTGTCAGGAGCCCCCTTTGGGGGCCAGGAGCCCCTGGTTCCAACATCCCACTCTGGCTTCCCCTCCCACACCTAATACAAAGCAACAGGCACCTGCCCAGGTGTGCCCCCCAGGCTGGTTTGTGGGAGATGTAACACCTCAGACCAAAGTTTACCCCCAGGGGTAGGGCCAGAATCTCTGCCCCCGTGGGGTTGTTGCTGACTAGCTGGGGGCTACTAGGGGCACTGGGAACAGGAGTCATCATGGGGAGGGAAGCTGCTGGGTTAAGGGGAGCAGCTGTAATGTTTATCCCTGGACAGGTGAAAAGGGGTCTTGGATGGGGGCACCCTCCCCCGCTAGGCAGGGCTGGCCTCTATGCCCCAGCCTGGCACAGTAGCCCCCGTATTATGCTGGCTAGAGCCAGAACAGCTCTGGCTGTCACTGGGAAGTGGGGGGTGGGGGTGGGGGGGGGGTGAGGAGAGAAGGTGTTTAGCTGGGGGGCGCCTATTGATTCCCCCCAGGGTCCGGACAAGCCCTTGTCTTAGTTCCATCATGGCAGCTGGCAGGAGCTCCAGTCATAGGCCCGGCCCACACGATGCCAAGGGCTGTACAAACACAGTCCTGCTCCCCAAGGAGCTTACAGTCTGCCCCTCCCCCCCTTGTATAGTCAGAGCTCAGGGGACATGCACTGAGATGCAGCCACCTCTGGGGTGGGGCCACTGGGCCCAGCTATAAGTTGAACCAGGGTATCTGGCCTACAGGTTTCCAGTAACACAGATGCTGTGCGGGAAGTTTAAACAGGCAAGAAGCACTAAACCTTATTTCGCAATGAAACATCTCATGTTCCAACAAGGGAACAAACTTGGGACCCCCCTGTGTGTGTGTGTGGGGGGGGGTAATAATAGCAACGCTGGACCCCAGCCTGCTGCCTCCCAAGGACAATAGCCCTCGGCAGTACAGGGACTATGAAACAGAGGCAGCAATTTTGCTTACTGCCCAAAGAGGGCACCGCCGTGCCATTACCCTTATCACAGTCAGTCACTCAAGGCTGTTTGGGGACACAGCGCTGTGTTAATGCGGAGGGTGTGGGTCAAAGGCCGGTCGGACACGTGGGTCCGCCCCACACTCTGCCTCACTCTCCCTCCCCTCTACGTGAACCACTATGGTTCATAAAAGTTCATTTCACAGAAATGATAAGACTGAAGGGGGGGGTAGCTCCTCCCCCCCTTAGTGGGGCTAGACACCTGGGTTCAATTCCCAACCAAGACATGATTTCATAGAAATCAGGGGGGCTCCCCTAGCCATCCCTGGGGCTGAAATTAACACAGGACCCTCTGCTGCCCCCCCCAGCAATATGTGGGGGGGAGATACACCACAAGAGGTGTGGGGCTACCCCCAGACCGAGATTTGGGCTGAGTCAATGCTCAGCAGAGGAAAGGTTAATGGGGCAAACCAACCTCCCTCCTCATCGGGGTGGGTGGGAAGGAGGCTGCTGCAACCAGGATGCCTGGGTTCTATCCCTAGCTCTGGATGGGGAGTGAGGTCTAGGGGTTTAGAGATGGGGCTGCCCTTGGCCTTCCCCTCAGCTGCCACCCACTGCATCGGCATGAGCACATGTAGCCTCACTGGGGGAGGCGGCTTGGGCAGGGTCTCACCTGCTCAGTCCAGTAGGGGGTAGTCACATGCCCAGCCCCAAGAGGGGGAAGGCAAGGGGCTGCAGCCCCACATGGCAGGCAGCAGCAGACCCAGGCATCTGGGTGGCCATGCTACCTCCTACTGTGGGACCCAGGGGGGTCCAAGCAACAAGGGAGCAGGGGACTTGGAGAACCCAGGTGTCCGGGGGGCCCCCATACAATAAGTTAGTTAAATACAGAAAATATTACAGACAACTTTCCAGAGAAATCCTCTCCCCCCACCCCACTTCACTGAGCGGCACCAGATGAGTCCCTCCCGCCCCCTTCCTTCAGCAGCCATGGATCTAGGGGGGCTGGGCGGGACGGCGGGCAGCGCCAGGGAGCGGGCGCCGGCTCTTCAACAAGAGGCGCAGCTGGGGGGGGAAGAAGAGGAGAGGTTGAGTTAGGGGGGACCCTGGAGAACCCCCAACCACACACTATGGCCCCCCTGAAGACAGGATGCACCTGCTTCCGTTGAGGCCAGGCAGGGCTGGGGGAGAGTTTTGGGGTCCACCAGGGCTAGGGAGGCCTCCAGGTCTGGGGGGGCGGAGTGTCAGAGGGGAGGTGGGTCTCCTGGGGAGTCTCACCTGGTCTCCCCCGGGCCCGGGGGGCAGCAGATGGGCCGGCTGCTCATTCTCCAGGTTGCGAGCGCTGGGGTCAGCTCCCCGGCTCAGTAGCAGCCGCACGAGGCTCTCCTGGCAGGGGGGGCTCGGCAGGGCTGCGGCCATGTGCAGAGCCGTGTTCCCGTGGGCCTGGGGGGGGGGGACAGAGGATCACACACAGCCCCTGCCCCCCACCAGGACAGCACCCCCTCCCCAGCAGGCCTGGCTGAGCCCACCCCACCCCCTGCAGCCCAGCTTCCCCCACCCAAACAGCCCCCATCCCCCTGCAGAATGGGCTCTCCCACATCCATTTCCCCCCCCCACACACACACACACACACCAAGCAAGGAGACACCCCCACCCCCTCACCTTCATGTTGATGAATTGCCGGGGCCCAGGCAGCTGCAGGAAGAACTGAACCAGTGACAGGTTCCCGTCCTGCACGGCCAGGTGCAGAACCGTCTTGCTGCTCTTTATGTCCTGGGAGGGCAGGGATGGGAGGGTGGTGAGGGCAGATCTTGCCCCCCCTCCCCACCGAAGAGAGAAGGCCAGGACAGCTGGGGCTATGTGGGGGGGAGGGGAGGAATTCCCAGCACCACCCCCATGATATCAGCAAGGTCAATTTGCCCCCACCGCCACATTGCAATTGAAGGGGGCAGGTAGCTAGAGGGCAAGTCTGCCCTCGTGATGAATTCCCCACCCATCCTCCCCCACCCTGCACCGAGCATGGGTCAAGGCTGACAGGCCCTGGGGAGCGGGCACAGAACTCCCCCTCCCCCACTCCGGTCACCTACCTGGCTGGTGTGATCTGCCCCCATGTGCAGCAGGGCCTGGATGCAGGCCAACATCTCCTGCAGCCGCTCTGGGGTCGGGGTCCCGATGCCCAGCGCCCGCAAGGCCTTGTTGTGGGAGATCACTGCACAGTGCAGAGGGGTCTGCCCTGGGGGTGACAAGAGAAGGGGTGAGAGCAGCCCCCTCACAGCCAGCACTTCCTGCTGGGGGAGGTCAGGCGCCCCCCCTCCAACATGCTCCCCCGCACTCCCCCCAGCATGCTCTCCCCCTTCCCACAGCACCACCTGCTGGGAGAGGCCGGAAGACCCCAGCCCCCAGCATGCTCCCTCACTCCCCATAGCTGGATGTGTCCTACCTTCAAAGTTCCTGGCCTCCACGTTGACAAGGACCCCAGATGCCATCACAGCCTTGGGGAGAGAAACCGGGTTAAATTCAATCGGGGGGGGGGAGGGGAGGGAGCGGGGAAGGGAGCAAATTGACACCAGTTTCAGACATTGTATTTGGGTAGGAGTGGGGGCTAGTGGGTGGGGGGGGGGGGGGAAGATCAGGGGCTGGGAGACAGGACTCCTGCATTCGATCCCCAGCTCTGGGAAGTGAGGGCGGAGGGCCTGTGATCCCAGACACCTGGGTTCCTTCTCGGCTACACACTCACCATGAGGACGTTGGGGAACCCGTAGGTGGCTGCCAGGTGCAGCAGCGTCTGGCCCTTGTGGTCAGCGGCATTGGCATCGGCTCCCAGCGCCAGCAGGTCCCGCACCAGCTCAGCCTGGTTGGCCGTGGCAGCCACCAGCAGCGGGGTCTGGGGAGGCCGGGAAACCCCAGCGTTAGAGAGCAGCAAAGGGGCCCAGGGCAAGACCCTTAGCCCCTAGTAATGCCCTTATCCTGACCACCCAGTGACCCTTGACCCCTACCTTGGTGTGATCCTTGACCCCCGGCAGTGCCCTCACCACCTAATGACCCTTGACCTCTACCCATGGGCCCATCAGCACTGTTGGCCAACTCATCTGCACGACCCTTACCATCCACCCACAGCTCTGCGACCTTTGACCCACAACAGCTCCATTCTCCTGCCCAACCCCCGCTCACCTTGCCCTTGTGCTCCTTGATCTCCAGCCGCCCGCACTCCTTGAAGGCCTCGGCGGCCGCCTGGGCAAAGTGACGCAGCCCCCGGGCAGCCAGCAGGTGTAGGATCCTGGTGGGGGGAAGGAGAGATTATGTCAGTCACCTCTTGCACCCTGAAACCCCTGCAGATCCCTCATCCAGTGCCACCCAACTCTGTACCCCCTCCACCTGCCTCCTGCCCCCCTAGTGCCACCTGCTCTCTGCCCATCCCTAAACCCCAGATCCCCCCATCCCCTCTGTGCCACCCTCCCCTCTGCTTTCACTGCCCCGCCCCATCCCTCCCCCCAAGCTTCCACTAACATTACCAACCCCCCCCCACAGACCATCCCATCCCCTCACCACTACATCCCCCACCAGTCCCATTTCCCCCACCAGCTCTATCCATTACCCTCCCTGGGACACAGCAGCTCAGCCCACCCCCCACTGCCCCGATCGGGGGGGGGGGCTGAGAAGCCCCCTTCCCTCCACTACCAGGAGTGGGGGGGCAGGGTGAGTTTTGGGGTCCCCCCAGACACTCACGTGTCCCCATCTTCATCCTGATGCAGCAGCCGCGCCGGGTCCATGCTCCGGATCTCAGCTCGGGCCGTAGCCAGCTCCCTGGGATCCAGCACCCCAACTGGGTCCCCGAAGCTGCCCAGCTCTAGGGGGTCAGAATAGGGGGTGCTCCGGGCAGGCTGCATCCAGGGGGCAGTGGATGCCTGTGGAGTTGGGAACAGGCCCAGTGAGGGGGCTGACACAGGGACCTGGTGAGGGGAGAGAGCAGGGGGTTATAGCCCTCACTCCCGACCCACTGTGCCCTGCTAGCCCAGCCCCACAGGTCTGCTGGTGCCCCTCTCTCCTGACCCACTGCGCCCTGCTAGCCCAGCCCCACAGCTCTGCTGGTGCCCCTCTCTCCCGACCCACTGCGCCCTGCTAGCCCAGCCCCACAGTTCTGCTGGTGCCCCACTCCCGACCCACTGCCCCTTTCTAGCTCAGCCCCACAGCTGCCAATGCCCCTCCCTCCTGACCCACTGCTAGCCCAGCCCCACAGCTCTGCCGGTGCCCCTCACTCCTGACCCACAGCCCCCCCATCTCACCTCCAAGTCCCCTGTGGCTGCCATCATGGTGCTGTAGGGATCCCCTGCTCCAAACACCCCGGTCCCCACGGGGGCATAGGAGTCTGTTGCATCGTACGTGGGTCCTGGGGGCTGGTAGCTGCTGGCCGCGGCCGAGCAGTGATAGTGGCAGTCGGGGAAGGCCGCATGGCATGAGGGGTCGACCTGCCAAGGTGGGTAGGGAGCCAGGGGGGGGGCCAGGGGCAGATTCCCCCACAGATCCCCTTCCCAGCCCCATGGGCTCCGGGCACTCATCTGGATGGGAGAGAGACATGGATGGTGGGTGCAAAGCATGGGGGGGGGGGGAGAGAGGGGAGACTGGGAGACTGCATGGGGATCACAGAGGGAGGGGATGGCACTCCTGAAGGATCAGAGGGTCTGGGGCACTGTGGTTGTCATACCACAGACAGGGAGTGGGGACCCCAGGGGAATCGAAGGGTATCTAGGGTTGGGGAAAGCTACAATGTGGGGTCCATGTTTGACTAACCTGTCTGGGAAGGGTCAGTGGCATCTGTTGGGACCTAGAGAGAGAAAAAACAGAAATTGCTGATGAGTCACAGGGCGGCTTGCCTGGTGCTGAGATGCAGCCACCTCTGGGGTAGAACAGCCAGGTAACAACTGCACATAACACTGTGAGTGGCCAGGAAGTAAAGGAGAAGCCCCTTGCAGCATGCGCCTTGGGAGGCAGAATGGAACTGACATGAAGGGATTTGGCCCACACACCAGGAGTCACGCCTGAGGTCCGGGGCTAGAGAGGTCTCAGCTGTGGCCAAGACAACCAGGGAAATTGGGGGGGCAGGGCAGAGGGGCGCTCACCTGAGAGCTGGCCGCATAGCCCAGTGCTGTCTGCTGCCGTCTCTTCTGCTCCAGAAGCTTCTTCACTGTCTGGGGTGGGACTGCGCTTCTGTCTCCTCTACCGCCTGGCGAGGGGAAGGGAGACCAAGCATTCAGCCCAGGACTCCTGGGTTCCATCCCCTGGCTGTGACAGGGGAGTGGGGTCTAGCAGTTAGAGTTGGGGTGGGAGCCAGGACACCTGGGTTCTCTCTCCAGCTTTGGGGTCTAGTGGTAGGTAGAACAGTAATGGGATGTCTCAGGCTCTCTCCGACCGCCCCTCCCCACACTCATGGAGCAATCGTTTCCACCCAGGCCGGTGCCTACACAGCGGATTTTTCCTTTCCAAGCCGCCCCAGGAGGAAAACGTGTCATGGACCGTCTGAGACACGGAGACACAAAGGCCGCTGCTGCTGGCTGCGGCTGCCGCCGCCCGCCCCGTGCCCCCGGCAGCTCTGCCCCTGCCACCCGGCAGCGTGTTCCTTCCATGCTGGAAAGCAACAGCTCACTCAGCCCCCACGCCGCCCGCCGGGGAAGTGACGTGGGCCCCAGCGACTGGTGGGGGCGGGGGCTGGGAGTCAGGATGCTAGGTTCTCTCCCCGGCTCTCACCTGGAGCTGGGGAGTCCTGGCTCCCAGCCCCCTCCAGTTCAGCTACCCCACTCCCCTCAGAGCCCAGGCGTCCTGGCTCCCAGGCCCTCCCTCCTCCATCCACGAGCTCTCTCCCAGAGCTGGGGCTGACACACCCAGAACTGGGGCGGGGGAGGGGGGGAAGAGTCAGTTTCTGGAGTGGTTTAGCCCGGGGTGGTTTAGCCCAGGGTGGGGGAGAATCGGAGTCCCCATTCTTGGGGGGGGGGGGACAGGAGGCAGCCCCCTGACAAAAGCCTACTGTCCCCAGCCCTGTGACCCCCTCCCCATCTGCTACCCAAGAGCAGCTCCCGACCCACTCCTGTGTCGGGGGTGGTCCCCATCTGACCAGAGCTCCCCGTGTTTCTCTTCTGGGGGGGGGGAATCTCACCCCCGCCTGCCCTTCCGCTCTGTAGCCTGCCCTGACCATGTGCCCCCTTTCCCTGTCCCCTCCCCACTTCTCATCCACTCCTTGGTCAGTCCTACCCTTCCCCACCTCAGCCCAGCCTCCTCCTCCTCCCTGAATGCCCCCAACCCTCCCCTCGGTTCCCCCCTCACCGTCCTAGCTCGCCCCCCCCCCAGTTGATTTAATTTCCGCCTCCCTCGCCCCCACATTCAAACCAAGACTGAATGAGAGACACTCGCACGCACCCCGATGACACCGACCAATGAGACTGTGTCCTGGAAACGGGTGTGGAAGGGTAACGCGGGGGAGTGGGGACCCCTGGCTCTGGACCAGGAGTGCTTAGAGCGGGGCTGGGGGTGCTGAGAGTCAGGGTCCTGGGACAGGATTCCTCTACCAAAACCAGGGATAGCGCAGGGACGCTCCGTCCCCCTCTGCTCCGGGGAGACCCTCAGCGGGGTCTGGGGAGGATTGAGGGTTCCCCAGACCCTCCACTCCTCCTCGGGCTCGAGGCCTGTCATTGGCTGCCCGCTAGAGAGGTAGTTTCCTCCTCATCTTCAGGGCTCAGCGCTAGCAGGGGTTTCCCGGTGACGCAGGGCTACTGCTCGGGGATTCCGCTCCACGCACCAGTACCCTGGGACTGTCAGGCCCAGAGGGGGCAGGGGACAGCCCAGACACCTCCCCCCCCCGCCCGTGCCCCAGAGAAGATCCCTTTACCCCTCCACCCACTAGCCCCCACTCCCCTCCCAGAGGTGGAGACAGAACCGAGGAGGTCCAGGCAGCCCTTAACCACCTAACTCCCCAGCCCCCCTGTTGCGTATATCACTGCAGTCTGGGCACCAGCTGCCAGTAACAACCGGTCCATAGCCAGTCCTTATTACAGCACCAGTATATAGAGACCATACAGCCCTGGGAACTCCTCCCATCCCCCGTATTATAGCCCTGTTTCAGCTCGGATAGTCTACACTGAGACCAGTCTAATATAGAACAGGAGTACTTGTGGCACTCCTGTTCCTTTTGCGGATACAGACTAACACGGCTCCTACTCTGAAACCAGTCTAATATAGGTTTCCCCTCCCCCGCTCAATGCAGACTAGTCTATACGGCTGTAACTCAGATGTCAGCTACCCTATTCTGTATAGGGACTGCTCCAATATAAAAGGCCCCTACACCCGGTCTATGATAGCAATGTCCCAGGCCCAGCGATATCGGTCCAATATAGAGCCCCTCCTGCACAATACATTCCAGTCTATGATAGCAATGTCCCAGGCACAGCGTTATTGGTCTCTACACCATACAACCCAGTCAATGATAGCTACAGCACAGACACAGTGATACCGGTCCAATACAGCACACCCCCCCCCGCGCCGCACAATACAGCCCACTCTAGGATAGCTGCATCTCAGGCACAGAGATACTGGGCCAATACAGCCCAGTCTATAATAGCTGTATATCTCATGGAACAGCTAAACAAGTCTGTATACGGACTGGTCCCATATAGATACCCCTCCTTAAAGGCACAGCACCCCGTTTTTGTTCAGCAGCTCATAAAAGGAGCAAAGAAGCAACAATGTATCTCCCGAAAGCAGCCACGCCCCTCTTTTAAAGGGCCAGTGCACCCCACTCACCTTTCTGAGAGCGCATGCCCCTCGGCCGCCGTTCCCCACGAGCTCACTGCCCCAGTAAGCCGAGCCGCGGTGTGTGTCTCGGCTTATAGGGGGCAAGCACTGCTCCGCCCCTTGAAGTGGAAACACCTGCTTTCTGAGGCCGGCCAGAGTGACATCTCCCCACCCCCTCAGCAGGGCGGGGCTAAAACTAAATAACTTTCTGATTGTCCCCAGATCACTGAGAGCCTGGACTCCTGGGTTCTGCGGGGGTGCTAGTGGGTTAGAGCAGGGGGGCTGGGAGTCAGGACTCCTGGGTTCTCTTCCTGGCTCTGGGGGGCTCCAGTGGTTACAGCAGGAGGGGTCCTGGGTTCTATGCCCAGCCCTGGGAGGGCAGTGGGGTCTAGTGGTTGGGAGGGGCTAGGAGCCACGACTCCTGGGTTCTCGCCCCATCTCTGGGAGGAGGGGTTCCCCATGCATGACATCAGAGTTCCCAATGACCGCGTTTGCAGAAGTGACACCGGACGGGCGTACTGCTCTGGGGGCTCAATATGTCACAGCGGGGGCGGGAGCTTCCCCCCAGCCCTGGGGTGTTCCCCAAGCCACGGTCTAGCGCCCAGGCGTTGCCGATTGGCGGCCTCTCCGGGGGGTCCCTTTAAATAAACGACACCCACTTGTAACCACAGGTTCCCTATGAGGCTACGGGCCTGGACAGCCAATCAGAGACCGGCTCCAGGTGCGACGCAGCTGGTTCCCACGGCAACTAGTGAGTGGTAAGAGAAGAGCCAGAAAATTAGAGAGACAAAAAGCAACTTAAAAGTGAGGGGGCTGGGAATGGGCCAGGGCAAGGGACTGGCTGACTGGGGGGTGTAGAATGGGGTACAGGCCTTTCCCCTCTAGGGGGTGACAGCTCTTCTCTGTATCTTGAGTTGTCTTGGCTTTTGAGGAGGGGAGTCTTTCATTCCTGTCCCTACATCCTGCATTTGCCCCATTGCTGGCTCCACTACTTGCTCTAACCACTAGACCCCACTCCCCTCCAAGAGCTGGGCTTAGAACCCAGGAGTAAGGATAGAGATAGCTAGAGACTCCTTATATGGCATTTCCCCTCTCCATCTGTCTATTCTAATTAACAGGCTATTTCTATGGGACACTATTATCTATCTATCCCCATACAGCCATTCCAAGGTCCCAGGTTTGCTGAGCAGCACCACCCTGTGGTGGCGGGTGGAAATGCTCCTCGCAGCGGCAATGAAGCTGTTGACCGTAGGGTGAGGGAGGGAGGGCGCGCGGGGGAATCAGTGGGGCATGGTCGTGGATGGGGCAGGATCCCCAGGTACTGAGTCATCAATAGTGACTCACCACATCAGTGGTGAATCTGCGACAGACAACTCATTGGGGTATTTCCGCCACTCCACACCCCTCTCCCGGCCCCAGGCACGGACTCTGTGTCTGTCTGTCCCCTGCCTCCAGCTCGGGGAGTGGGAGCTAGTGGGCGAGAGCCAGGAGGGGGAACCAGGACTCCTGGGTTCTAGCCCCAGCCCTAGCAGCAGGGGGGGTCTGGTGGGTCAGAGCAAGGGGAGGGGTTGGGAGCAGATCGTCTGGGTTCTCTTAACAACTGTGCCATTAGAGACAGACTGATTGCGGTGCTGCGAGCCCAAAGACCCAGAGCGGCTCCGCCCTGCCCTGCCGGGCTTTTATAGCAACGATAATTTTAGTCCCCGACACACAAGGGGAAGTGAAGAGTCATTAGTTGTAGGAGCATAAACACGGCACCGACCTGCGTGACTCAGGGAAGACGCCTACTCGATAGATGGCTAGATAGTAGGGGATGTGTGGGGAGAGATAGTGGGCAGTGGGTGTGGATGGATAGATAGGGTGATGGTGGGGGGTGTGGGGATGGATAGATGGGCAGTGGGGGTTGATGGGGATGGATAATGGGTGTGGATGGGAATGGAGAGGTAGGCAGTGGATGGGAATGGAGAGGTAGGCAGTGGATGGGGATGGAGAAATAGGCGGTGGGGAGGGATAGATGGGAGTGGGGATGGATGGGGAGGATAATGGGGGGTGATGGGGATGGAGAGGTAGGCAGTGGATGGGGATGGATAATGGGT